ATATTTTAATTAATTTCCACGATTTTCTATTGATTCGGCAGAATCGAAGGACAATTTTTACACGCGTTTCTTTACGAAAAATCCTCTATCATTTGAAACGTGAAATTTATTTATTCCGAATACATGTGAAATGTATTTTAAGATCGTTCATGTTCGATTATTCTCGCAATTGATTGATCTTGACAATCGACCAACACACAACGCGCACATGTTGTTTAGCTAAGCTGCGAAACACGGAACGAATTTTCCTTCATGTGAGCAGCATATGTCGCTGAACAACGGCCAGCTTTTCATTTCGTTCGTCCCAATTTCATCAAGTTATTTCTGAGAATAATAGCTTTTCACGAATCCATGTCAGCCTCGTAAAAATTCTTGGCAAAAATTCCACCCCCGATCGTAAAGTTATTTCCTGTTGGATGATGTTTGAATTAGTCCAGCCAAATGATTGTATCGCTTGAACTAGCTCGAAAGACAATCCACGACTATTTATCGAATTTGGATATTTCATTATATTACAATGGCATATTTTGTTATTATAGACCTGAGAGATATTAAGACAAATTTGCGTCCGATTTGGTAATATTGATATTTCATCTTTGATATCAATTCGGCAATCTGTATTCACATCAACAGGTAGTTCGATATTCGCAACGGAACAAGCGTCGTTTCTATCACGTGTGCGGAACAGATGTTTCCCAAGGCAAACCTGTTTCACAGCAGTTTGTAGATACATGATCACGTTGACAACTGAAAACTAGCCAGCCAGTGCCAATTACAAAAACGTGATTTGGATGGTTGCCTGCATGCGTGATTAAAATGCAGTTCACCAGCGTCAAAATGTCCCTAACATGATATTCGCTGGTGATCACACTCTCTCTCTCTCTCTTGATAATTTCTTCAGAATTTCTCAGTACAGCGTGTTATAATTTCTATGCTTCTACGCGTAAATGTAGTCCCCTTCAATCGCATTTATTTATTTATTTATTTATTTATTTATCTTTTTCTTACATAATTGACGTAACGTTATATCGTAGAAATAGAAACAAAGATTTCTGGCTGATCGTTGTTGACGATCGTTTCTCACTAGTTAATATCAAATCGAATGGCAACCACCATCACAGATATAGTAAATGATGAATACCTGACAAATGACTATGTTGCACGATATCTATGCTAGCCACACTCGATAAGATTCCTTGATTGCGGCGTGAAATATTAAAAGTCGGTAGGGTTTCACTTCCACTCCTCCTTCATGCACGAAGCAAATCTCTTCGTTGGCTACGTTTCCCGTTTCAATTCATTTCCCGATTCACTGACGAAGGAAGAAACAAAGGAATGATTTTTTAGGGTGTGTCCGTCGCATGTGTGCTCTATCGACGGATCAACGTCGTTACCGGTCGCAAACACGAAAGCTGGCCTCGTAAATAGACGGCGGCTGAACTATATCTCTCGGTGTACGCACCCAATGGATGAACGATGGAAAGGGCCGCTCCTTCTTGTTACACCATTCCCTCGACTTATCCAATTTTATTTCCACCTCGAAAAAAAAAAAAAAAAAAAAAAAAAAAAAGAAAACACGGTTGCGCCCATAAGCCAATTACACCGATCACGCGATCTTTTCCATCACCGTCGTTATTGTTCGATGTAATACCTAGCCCTCTGAATAGATTCCATCGAGCAGAGAAATCCTTTCGCGACTCGTCATACTCTTTTCACCAGATCGATACGGCTTTCCTCCGATGCATTTGTTCGGTATACAAGATATTCTGTCCGGAATATTTATGATTGTAAATGAAATTTCCCGTGAGATTCAATACACGTTGCAAGGGCTGCATCATCATAGACGGAAAGCTATTCGTCCAATTGTGCAATGACATGTGCTATTGCTGTACGAAATACACACGTAAAACACTTGGCCATGCAAAGTGGTGTATAGTCGTCTGAAAATCGATGCGTAGAAAAGCACTCTTGAGAATTAACATTTCCGTGGCTATGCTCGAAAGTGTAACGTCCTATGCGACTTGCTAGCAACCCACTT